CCTCACATTTTAGCCAGAATCCAACTCTTTCTTTTCTCCTTCACGTCACTCCTAAGTTATCCTCACTATAAAATATCAATGTATATCTAAAATAATAAAAGAGGGGTTGCTTTTTAACAAAGGGACATAACTAAGCAAATAACAATTACTGATTGCTAATGTGTTAATAACTAATTATTAAAATTATTTAAAATAATTAATACTGCAAAAAAAGTAGTAAAAATTAAGTTGAAATGAAGTTGAAAAATTATTTAAGTTGCCAAACGATGAACCCATACAGTCTTAATCCCAACACTTTTATCTTTTACACAGCCATAAATATCGTGGGTGAGTTCATTTATGGACGACCCCTAGGGAAATTTTTTCTGATTTATTACTATTAATGTGGTTGTTTTGTGTGTGCTAATACATACATTATAAACTTATTTTCCAAAAAGGAATACATGTAATTTTACTGATTTCCCTGCCAGCTTCCAATGGACCTGATAGGTGGGGTCAACCCTGCTCCACCCCCAGCTTAACAGACATAACAACCACCTCCCCACACTGACATCACACCCCACATTTACCCGTGTTTCTTTCAGAGTTATTTCTCCGTGGTGTGTATGTGTGAAGGGGGGGGGGGCAATTTAAAAAATAATAATTCGTAGAGGGGAGGGGGCGAGTTAAATTGCCTGGGGGAGGATCGGAGGGCAGACACTAGTAAAAGTATATTTTTTCTATATAAATTATATTTAGGGGTGGGGGTAGAAGTTCTTTTGAAAGAAAGAAACTGCTATTAGCCTGCTTGGTGGAGTCTACCCTACCCCCTCCTCCCTCAGTTTAATATACCTGACAACCCCCTCCACCCTCCCACACACCTGAACTGACCTCACACTCCTGATTTCTCTTCCAGCTTCCAATGGGCCTGATGGATGTGGGTCAATCCCCCCCCCCCCCCACATCCTCCTCCTCCCCATCCTCCCCCCCCCTATCCTCCCCCCCATCCTTCCCCCCCTATCCTCCCCCCATCCTCCCCCCCCCCCACATCTTAACAGACATCTGAATTCTCTTCCAGCTTCCAATGGGCCTGCTGGGTGGCATCAACGGGGCGTTTTTTATCGGCGCCTGCGTCATAACGGTGGGTCTGCTTCTTGAGATCATCGGCGTGTCCACGGAGGAGTGGTCAGTGGCGTCCATCCTGCACGCCACCCTCGGGCTGAGGAAGGTCTGCCTGGACGGGGAGTGCACCAGCTACAGGTCCAGACGTGGTAGGTGCTAACGTGACAAAAACATACGTGATACGTAATCCTGCTTGTGTTAGAACGTGACATTACACCGGCTGGTTAGATAACGTGACACCACGCCACCTGTTGTATAGGGATAGGGTGTTTGCATGGAAGAGCGATCGACTGCTAACTAACACGAACGTCTCGAGTTCGGATCCCAGACTCCAATCCATAGTAGGCCTACGTCCCTGAGTCCACCCAGCTCAGATGGGTACCTGACTCACTTTAAGGAAAGTAAAGACGGCTGAGCGCAGAGCTTACCACACTATCACTTTATTATTACTCCGAGGACACTGAAACAGGAGAACTCTACTTCACCTACTACTCAATGAATGGACCGTAAGCTACGAAATGGTCCTTTTGAATTTGTCTCTTCTTATGTAGACAAAAGACCTTTGCATGTGTATGTAACAAAGATCTTTAGCCTCTAAATCCTAATGTCTTCTATTTATTTAATTCAGTTCAATTACATATACATCTATTAAAGGTTGTTAACTTTAACTTTTTGCATAAAGATAGAACTGTTAAGTTTAACTGAGCATCATGCTGTTGGTTTGCCTAAACCAGAACAAAAACACTTCTGTTTTCTCCAGCCGTGCTTGAAGTGACAGAAGCGTTCGCCATCTTGGCCATTCTGGGCACCATTGCTACTCTGGCCATAGCTGTGGCCTATGTGACGAGTTTCATCATGGGCACGGAGAAGAAATTTTCATTGCTCGTTCTGGTGGGAGTGGTGGCCTTCTTCTCGCGTGAGTAGATGGAACGGGGGGGGGGGGGGGAGTGTGAGGTAAACAGTAAAATTTCGGGGGGGGGGGGGTGTGAGGTAAACAGTAAAATTTCGGGGGGGGGGAGTTCAACACAGTAGCATGGGGGATAAACTTATTGTAAACACAGTAACATGGGAGTTAAACACAATTTAAACACACTAACTTGTGGAGATAAACCCAAATATATGATAAAAGTGTAAACACCACACACATTATATAATGCATGTCCCCCACCCGCAAAGTATAATGAAAAAGTTATTTAAACCGTATATGCGTTTATGTTCTCACCTTTGTTTAGCTTGACATAAATGTTTACAAAATACTAGCTGCATCCCGTGCTCCGCCACGGTAAATCTTTTAAATGTACAACTTTGGAACAGAACAAAACGAACAAAAACACAACCACAACACAACCACAACACAAACACAACCACAACACAACCACAACACAACACAACAACACAACCACAACGCAACCACAACACAACCACAACACAACCACAACACAACCACAACACAACACAACCACACAACACAACACAACCACAACACAACCACAACACAACCACAACACAACACAACCACAACACAACCACAACACAACCACAACACAACCACAACACAACCACAAAACAACCTCAACACAACCACAAAACAACCACAAAACAACCACAGCCACAACATTAGAATCACCACCAAACAACACGCTTTTTTTAGGCGTCCGCGCCCAAAGAGAGCCTTTATTTAGTCACAAAAATAGATTCTACTCTATAACTTACAATAAAACAATGCAATGCAAATAAATGTACGGCAAGTGGTGTTTACTTTTATGGTTCTAAGAAAACACATTGGCAATGTAATTAGAATCACCACCGAAAAACACGCTTTTCCCAGGCGTCCGCGCCCGTAGAGAGCCTTTTCAGCATTCTCTCTACTATAATCCTAAAATTTCACCATCTGTTAACACCGAAAAACAAAAACAAAAAAATGTGATTTTGAGAGATCATAGACTAATTAGAAAATAATATAAATAATCTTAACATTTTTCTATTTTACTTATGAACCTTAACATATAATAATCAATGTGGAAGTAATAAAAAATAACTTAAATTATTGAGAGTGAGTTAAATATTAAAAAAAAAATTTTTCCCATACGTCCGCGCTCAGAGAGAGCCTTTCCAGTCTTCTCAAAAAGTCAAATTTTACCATCTGTTTTCATAACACCGAAAAACAAAAGCAAAAAGAAAGTGATTTTTGAGAAATCATAGACTAATTAGAAAATAATAATAAATAATATAAATAATCTTAACATTTTTCTCTTTTAATTATGAACCTTAACATGTAATAATCAATGCGGTAGTAATAAAAAAAAATTAACTTAGATATTGATGAGTTAAATATATTTTTAAATTACCTCCCTTGCAAAAAAATTACCAAACAAAAGTTGAATTAATTAGTTTTTTCGACCTACTTTCATGAAAATATATCCATTTTTTCTAAGAATATAAACGAAAATGATATTTAACATTGATTTTTTAAGTATGTTTTAGCCATTTTCGTGTATTTAATATTTTCTTTAAGTTATGCAAAAGAGTAAACACAGTGGCAATTATAAAATAGCGCTATGTGGCTATATAAACAAACCCTACTCTACTACTTATAATAAGACACTGCGGTGCACTGAAAAGCACAGCATGGTGCGTAGTTTACTTTTATAGTCCCAAAATCTATAGCGATGACGGACGGAAGGAAGGAAGGACAAGCTCAGCCCGCTTATATTATAGATTACCTGAAATTTAATATATCGATAGAAATCTAAAGCCTACACACAGACAAAAGCATCCCTATCAAAACAACACACCACAACGGTATGTGTGGACCATTGATCATACCTATGTAAAAATATTTCACGTTGTACCTTCTTACCCCTCCCTCCCCCGGGGGTAGAGTGAACAGAAGCTTCACATACACCTGTCATTCAGTCCCTCCCTCCCCCGGGGGGTAGAGTGAAATGTACAGAAGCCCCACCCCACCCCCTCTGGGTAAAGTGAACTGTACAGGATCCACACCCCTACCCCCTGGGGGTAAAGTGAACTGTACAGGATCCCCACCCCCACCCCCTGGGGAAAAGTGAACTGTACAGGATCCCCACCCCCACTCCCTGTGGGTAGAGGGAAATGTACAGCAGCCGTATGGAGCTTCACAAACACCTGTTGTTATTGGGTCCCTCCCTCCCCTGGGGTTAGTGTGAACCGTACAGGAGCCCCACCCCTCCCCTCCCCTATTAATAGAGTGAACAGGAGCATCACATACACTTGTTGTCATTGACACTTTTTGATTACATGTTCTGTCTTGGACTAATTAAATCTTTCCAACAATAAGTACAATTTACCACCTGTCGGCCAATTCACAATATCTAACAAATAAGGTGTGGATTACATACGTTTCCTTCAGCCATGCAATAACACTGTTGATAATGTCTAGAAAAAAATGTAAACAATCGTCATTGGGATTTATAATCAGGTGTTTAGGTCCAGGCTTTAATTGTTTGGACGTCAGAGGAGAGAGGGTCAAGGAATAGACACCTCTTTACCCATGTTAAAAAAAATTTTGTTTTTGTTTTTTGTTATATTTTGTCTCATAATTATAACACTTGTTCAAATAGTTACACATTTTAACCCGTCTATTCTCCCCCCCCCCCCCCACAAGTCGTGTGTGCGGTCATCAGTGTGTCCGTGTATGGCAGCACATTCCACCCCAAGAACATGGACCTCGGCTACTCCTTCATCCTCACCATCGTCGGGGGGTGTTTGACGGCCCTGGGTGGGGTTCTCTCCTCCTTGTCCGCCTAAAGACACGTCCACTCTGCTTCACCTATCACAAGGACCAGCAGGGGATCAACGATAAAGCCTTGTTTTACCACAGGAACGTTCAGTTTCTATATGTTATTCACTTTTATACTGTATTATATTTTTCCTTATTTTATTTTTTGAAATAAAGTTGTATAACCAATCAAAATTTAGTAATTTTTTTTTTAATATTTAGCATTACTTTGCTAAGCTTTTTGTTGAATTCGTAAAGAACGTTTTAATGGTTTTGTTTGGATTACTTTGCTTTTTACATCATCACTCTCTATTGAGTAACTTTCCTGCAAATTTAGCACCCATAGCCAGAATGCATAATGTGGCATGTCAGTCACAATCACAGTAATTCCTGACGCTTTTCTTACAAAAATAAACAATTATGTTGAACTACAACAAATTGTGGGTGGGGGGTTGTATACATTGAGATATTAGCTACTTAGTCAACCAGTAATGGTGTTTTGATGTGCATATTTTATTGATTTAGAAAGAGAAAATAAAAATGAAGACATTATTTACACGGTGATTATTGAAGGTGGAACTCCGTGACGTCATGTTTTACATGTCCTTTTGTCTGAATTGGGATGAAACAAGTGCACTGTATTTTTACTTTCTCGTATATACGAAGTATAGAGAAAGTATTGTAATCGTGCACAAACATAACAGGAAATTTAGACAGTTTTCACCTTTTTACTCCTCAGTCCTTCATCGAATCCGAAGTATAGAGGACTTATTTTAATCAGGCAAAAATTATTAATACAAATATATAATCATTTTGGCGTTTTATGCGTTATCGAGTCGTAAAAACTGGACTTTGCAATTCTGTCCGTATGTCTGTGTGTGTGTGTGTGTCTGTGTGTAAACACGATAACTTCAGTACCGTTACAGCTAGGTTGATGAAATTTCATATATAAGTATTTTATCAAAATCGCAGATCCTGATCAACTTTTGAGCGATTTCCGATAACCGTAAGTGGTACTTTTTCTAGTTTGAATTTTTAAAAAGCCTATAACTTGAGTACTATTTCAGATAGATAAATAAAATTTCACATGTAAGTAAAAGGTCTAATTCTCTACCTTCTGTCAAATTTTGAGTAATTTCCGTTGATTGAAAGTACTAATTTACGCTATTTTCGATTTCTCAAAAAAAAACGAATGTAAATTTATAAAGTACTAATAATATTTCGCACTATTATGCACGTTTTATTTGGCGTTCACAGGTGTGCAATTCTTTTTTCTACGAGATTTTATTCTATTTTAAAAAGTTTCAGTATTTAAAATGGATTAAAATTCATGTCTATATCCCGAATTCCCATCCCCTGTTTTTTTTTATAAAAGAATATTTGAGAAAGATTAGGGGAGATCGCTCCTGGTTTATTTTATGTGCCAATCACACAGGCAGGCGAAAAAACAAACCAACAATGAATGGCGCAGTGGGTAGATTGATTAGGCTTCAGTGCTGAACTCTAACTTGCTGACACAACCATTGTTGGATGTATACAACAGTGGTTGGATTTATACAACAATAGTTGGGCTAATACTATATTATTTAAAAAAAATTAAACGAGGTTGCTGGGCATTGTAATTTACAGGTGAGTAATCTAATTGGGCTAATTTTTATTTTTAGTTTTGAGGGATAATTTAAGCGTAACTGAAGTTAAACAGAGTGCCTCAGGTAGCTGGACATTTAACTCTTTACAATTCTCAGGTTTAGTAGAAAAATATTGGAGTACACTGGTCTCAATTGTAAAATGTCCACTAGACATTATTAAACAAGGAAAGTATATAGTGTTATGCACCATTCTTTAGGTAATTGAATAGAGAATCAGCAGAGATTAAAAAATCCAATGTAGCAGGTATGGCCTTGAGGGCACAATTAATTAATTAATTAATTAAATTTGATTTTACTTTTTTAAAAACAATTACATGAAAAACACCAAGAACAAAAAAAATAAGCCAAGTCCTATAATGAAACAAAGTAATGTTTATTGGATAGATAAATCAATTCTGCATTTAAAAAAGGTGATGTGATGCATTTAGGACAAGAACTAAAAAAAATATACAATAAACAATAACATGACCTGTGTAAGGGGAAATCAGTAAAAAATTTATAAAAAAGTAATCTGCAAAGAAATTAATATAAAATAGGATAAGGTTATTGATAACAAAATAAAAACAATAAGATTCAAGAAGATTCATGAAATTATAACAAACAGTTACTCTTTTTGTGAATACAGATATGTATCACAAGTGCGACACCTAGTGTTGACCCCCCCCAATATTTATTACTTATAATCCTGAATACTAATTGCTTGATCAACATACAACTGTGTATAATTACCTCCTACCTATGTTCTGCTGTTTACCTTTACTGAACCATTAGCTGTCTTATAGCTTGACATCACAGACTGTTTTAATTATCGCGCCACTTAACTGTTACAATGTCACCCTCGCTAAACCATAGCATGTCACCTCTTTTTGAAACTTTTTCAAAAGACCTATCTTTTAGGGCAATAAGAAAACCTTTCCTATTTTTATAATTGTGCCACAAACACCAATTCCACATTTAAAAGATCTTTAAATAGTTTAAGTTTAGTGTACAAGTTGTCAAAAAATAAAAGATATACCGCACGCAAGACTGATTGTGACAATATGGTAACTACATCATAAGATAGGCCAGAGGTGGAAGTCTGTGGTGTCTTGTCTTCAAACATCAGCAAACCTAAAAAAATAACTCATTTATAGATCTATAGTTAAATTTTACCATCTTTTGGAAATAGGTCTTGTAAGTCCACATTGTGCTGCATAATGGTTGGTATACATAACAATTGTCTTCACCATATCCACTGTAAAGTACAGCTTGACGAAATGACACAGGGCTCAGGGATTCCCTAGCAGCTCTTTTAGTTAAAATATCCCCATTGACTAAGATGTGTTCCATGTTTCTTAGCAGGTTGGAATTTAGGATCTAGAGGTCCACCATCTACATCAGGATGCTGTCTTGGGTCTGAAATCAAAACATAAAATATATGTTGACTTGGCTAGATAATTTATTATAAATATAGGCCTAATACTTAGAATATAAAATAATGTAATAGCTATAAAAACAAGAGAATATTGAAATACTTAAAATATATATTAGAAACTAAGCAACTATAGTTAGTTAACAGTGAATATAAAGCAGAAATATTTAGACAAAGCTACAAGATGCTAGAGCATACACTGTAAACAGCTCCTTAGCAACCATTTTTTTTTATTTACTGGTGTGAATGGGGCATTTTATTTTATTTTTATTTAATATTTTATAAATAATATAAATACTTCATATTATATCGATATTTCTAGAAGAGGCTGGTGTAATTAATATGAGTGTTTGTTATAATGATTAATTTCATGGTGGGGCAATTTAATTAAAAATGTTCAGTCTTAACATTGAAAAAAAAAAGTTGTCAACTCACCGATGCCTGTCCCTATGTTGTGTTGAGTTATTAACTGAGATATTTCCCAAATCATCGTTTGAATCTTCGAATTCTGTTTCCACAATATCTTCATCAGACGATTCATCACAAAATCTCATATCACTTGCGGTTTTAAACATTTTATTTTCATTTAATTCGAAGAGTCTGTCTCAAATCGACTTCACTAAAAATCCAAAATGGCGTAAGCAAGGCATGCTCGGTTCAAGCGTTTTCTTTCGCTTTTTTCATAATAAGAAAATAAGTTTCGCATTTTATGTGTGTTTTTTATAAATGCTAAAACAATTAGGAAAATAATGACATTTTAAAAAAATAAAAAAGCTTAGGGATTATTATTAAAAAATACACATTTCTGCGTCGATCTTATAAGAACGATAGCTAAGGGAGAGAATTGAAAAGAGTTAAAATTAGGTCTGCGGTCAAAAACTAAATATTTTTAATGTTGTTGGGGGGGGGGGGGGTGGATACAAAATACGTTATTATTCACGTTATAAAATCGATTTTAAAATACGAACTAAATAGATATAGTGGGGGATTTAAGTTAATTACAAAACATTAAAATAACATGAACCCTACTTGTTCAATCAACCGATTTATAGAAAAAAATTATAATTCCACTTAATTAAATGATTGACACACAAACAGACACACACATACACACACGGGTTTTTCTGTGAATTTGTTTGGACCCTTCTGTTTTTACGCGGATATCGAAAGAGGGAAAATCCATTGGTTACACTTGGGAAGGGGAGACCATATGGATCCGTGACTTGTCTATTTCCTAGTTATTGCGCATATTTGGTGAAAAGGTTTGAACCAAGCAACCAAAGGTAAGTGTTGATTTTTTTTCAAGAAATAATTGCTGTTTTATATTTGTTCAAATGTGTTCAAATCCCAACAGCGATGTCCAATTTGGTGGAGTTTACCCCACAGACAGAAGTTGAAATATGTGTTATGGCATCCCTAAAGGCGTCACTCACACTAACAGTAGATGTCCTCCCTTTAGACGAACGGCGGTCGTAGTTTCTCACAACGGCTAGCACGTACCTGGCCACTTAGGCAGGCACACATACACACACACACACACACACACATATATATATATATATATATATATATATATATATATATATATATATATATATATATATATATATAATGTGTGTATGTATGCACACATTATATATATATATATATATATATATATATATATATATATATATATATATATATATATATATATATATATTTATATATATATATAATGTGTGTATGTATGCACACAAACACATGTATGTATGTGTGTGGGTGACAGTAAGTTGGTCACTCCTGTGCTGAAAAGGATGTCGAGTTTATCTCCGACATCATCTTCTACCGCTACTCCCCCCCCCCCCCCCCCACAACCTTCGGTTGAACACAACCATGTGACGTATGACTGTCAGACACTCCTGTCTTACCTCTCCTTATTTTACCTGGGCGGATTCTCCAGTGATTACCTATCTCTCCACCAAAATATTTTAAACATGCTCATTTAATGTGGGACAGGTGACGTAGAGTTTTATAGACACCACCCCACGCTCTTGTATATTCTTTTTCCCTTTCTTTTTAAACCACAGCCAAGTCCTCTCTCTTCTACAATTAAACTTAACAAAGATAAGCAAACGTTCAAACCACTTCCATGACTTATTTCCCTTTTTTAAATAGTCAAATTGGGGTGCTCATAAGCTCCTTTTAGTAGATTTGTACTAAACAAATTAAAAAGCAATTACTTCTCTTACTAAATATTTTTTCATAAAGTACTTACTAAAGAATGACCATGTATAAAAAGGAAATGTATTTAAAATTAATAATATAAATACAAAAAAACATAAAAATAATCATAGGTCCCCCCATATATATATATATATATATATATATATATATATATATATATATATATATATATATATATATATATATATATATATATATATATATATATATATATATATGGGGGGACCTAAACAATTTTTTTGCGGGGTGGCCATTTTTTTCTAGTTCCGCCACTGGCTGAGCCCCCACCTCCCAAGTAGAGTTGCCTGAAAGAAACTCTAAATGCGACTCTTGTCATGAATGAGATTAGGTGCATGGTTTAGGGATATGCCTATGACTATATTTTGTATAAATTAAAGTACCGATTCTTGATAAAAATCCGTTTTCAATGTCATTTTTCGTTTCCGGTTAAATTGAATTAAGGCGGTGATTTTGGTTTTGGTTTTAGTTTAGAGAAAATAGACAGCACCATCAACCTAGCGCCCGTTGTATCCTTCCTCAACGGGACATTTTTCTCGTTGATTAAATTGTTGATTGTAGCATTACATCCTCTGCTAGGTTTAAACTCAACTGTAATGGCGCAAGCAAGCAATGTTGCTGTGACGTTCTTCGTTGGTCTGGTGGTTGTCGGTGTTGGCCTGTTTCTGGAGATCGTTGGGTTGTCGACGCCAGAGTGGGCTGTGTACCTACATACTACAGCAGGCCTGTGGGCGGCCTGTGCTATGGGAAAATGTGTTAGCTATACAACAAAGTCAAGTAAGTGGTCTGTCATGTTGTCTGTCCTAAGTCAAGTTGTCTGTCCTAAGTCAAGTAAGTTGACTGCGGACAAAGTCAAGTTGTCTATAGTCAAGTTGAACCTTCCCCGGACAATATTATGTCTGTATGCTTTGTTTTTGTTATGTGCCTTTATGTACCTTTGTCTAGGCATTTGGTGTTAAGTTTGTTCCCCAATGGTGACCGTATACACAGGGGTATATATATATACACATTGGTTTAAGCCTAACTCTGAACCTATCCCTATCCCTATTCCTATCCCTATATCTCTATCTCTATCTCTATCTCTATCTCTATCACCATTCTTATCATTATCCTTAAAGTTATCTTTATCCCTATCCCTATCCCTAACCCTAACCTTAACCTTAACACTATCCCTATCCCTATCCCTATCCCTAATCTATCCCTATCCCTAATCTATCCCTATCCCTAATCTATCCCTATCCCTATCCCTATCCCTATCCCTATCCCTATCCCTATCCCTATCCCTATCCCTATCCCTATCCCTATCCCTATCCCTATCCCTATCCCTATCCCTATCCCTATCCCTATCCCTATCCCTATCCCTATCCCTATCCCTATCCCTATCCCTATCCCTATCCCTTTCCAAATTCTAACCCTAGCCCTAACCCAAACCCAAACCCAAACTCTAGTCCTAACCCTTACTGGGGGGGGGGGGGAGTCCTACTGGGCTGGGGCTAATTGACAAGGGGGTAATTACTCCGGGGGATAAAATATGGGCGGGATGTCCGGGGGGTTATTGACGGTGGGAGGGGGGGGAGGTAATTCCCTGTTTCCGTTCTGGCTTCTAGTCCAGCTGTATGCCTTTTATATACTTATCTATCGGTATGTTCCTCTGTGTTCTGTCTAGCTATATTTTCTGTCTAGCTATATATTCTGTCTAGTTATATTTTCTGTCTAGCTATATTTTCTATCTAGCTATATTATCTGTCTAGCTATATTTTCTGTCTAGCTCTATTTTCTTTCTAGCTATTTTTATGTCTAGCCATATTTTATGTCTGTTAGTTTAGCAAACGCCATGCTCACTATTGATATTTTTTTTCTATATTTAAGCATAAACATAGTGTTCTTAATTACTTATTTTTAATTAACCAATATATTATGCTTGTGTGATGAATTATTTGATGTATTTAACAGTGTGTTCTGCTTGTGTGATGAATTATATGTTGTAGTACCAGTGTGTTCTGCTTGAGTGATGAATTATATGTTATACTTCACCAGGAGAGATAGAGGTGTGTGAAGCTTTTGCTATCCTCGGTACTTTGGCGGCCGTAGCTGCTGTTGACTTAGCTGTTATCTATTTGGTGTTGGATGCGATTGGTAAAAACAAAAAAATCATCGCCATCATCGTTGCTGTAGCAGCTGTTGCGTCGTGTAAGTCTGTTTCATTTGTCAGGTTGCAACATATAATACATATACGTATGTGTATATGATATACACATATATAAGGTAAAGACACACACATAACACTGATAACACTCATACAACATTCATCGACACAAACACACATATATATGTATATATGTATGTACGTACAGTTAACTACATATTTAGAAGAATACTTGATATTGATGCGGCACGTACGTTGACCACATAAACATACATGTTATCAACATCATCATTTACCGTTAGTATCCAAGGGGAATAGTGTGAGTCGGGTACCCATTAGAGCTGGGTGAACTCAGGGACCCTTAACGATAGTCTCAGGGGGGAGGTGGGGTGGGGGGGGGGTGTCGTACGGAGTTGAGCTAGGGGATTCGAACTCGACCGCTAGTTGTGTGTGACTTAACAAACTTATCAAACCAACCAATGTCTTATACCGGGGTCGGCAACCCGCGTCGCGCGAGCCGCATGCGGCTCTTTTGATTTAAAGAGGCGGCTTTTCAGCTATATGCTCAATTATTAATAATTATTTTATTTTACTTTCAAAACTCCTCAGAATATATATATATATATATATATATATATATATAAATAAATAAAAAATGTTAGTGGCTCTTTAAAATCAGGGAAATTGTGTACATTGGGACTTTTGGCTCTTCTGTCTCAAAAGGTTGCCGACCCCTGTCTTATGCTTTCATATCTCCATAATCTACCCCACAGTGGTGTGTGTGATTATCTGTGTGTGTGTGTTCGACCACTACTTCATCCTCGGACAAGGGGCAAAGGTCGGCTACTCTTTCATCCTCAACATCATCGGCGGAATTCTGACAGCCATTGGCGGAGTGCTGGTCGCTGTTTCTGTAACATGACTTTATAGTTGTGGTTGAACTACATAACATTACAATATATATAGCAATGTCTAAATTTTGCAACTTTATAGTTATGGCTGAATTGTATATATCCGGTATTTATTGTTGTCTATCAGTTGTATATTTATATTATCATTTATATCATATTTTGTAAATAATATATTAAATAATCAACTAAAGTGTGTGTTATTTTTTTATTTTCTTAAGTATGAAGACCCCGCTGATGAATTTTTGTTTAGTCTTAAACAAACATGTTTAAAGATCAGCAAGATCGTTTGATGGTAGGCAATTAATCTGAGGATTCAGCAACACTCTAATATCTGAAGAATTGATTATAAAAACGTGTTGAAAATTTCATTACGTGGCATCATAAATATATATTTCGGCCACCTAAATAAACATACATGCAGTATGTTGAGGTGAAAAAAATAAGTAGGCGTTGACTAGTGTGCACCAAACATAATTATCATTTTATATTGTGGTAATTTATTGTCTATAATTTGTTTTCTCCTTTTTAGTGCATTATTACATAAAAGCTTGTTATTAAAACGTTTCTGTATGAAATTTTTTTACACGTTTTTATTTAACTCACTTCCTCTGTCGTCAGTCTGTCGTCATTCTAGATTGAAACGCCAGAGCGAAATTGCAGGCACTTCTAACTGACAGATACGATTCGTAGTTGATACGTGGGTCAAGGCATAAAGACATTGCAACATGAGATTTAATTTGACTTAATTGGTTGGCTGATTAGTTTTTTATGAATTAATTTAAATTTTGATCAGATTAGTAGGCAGTCTCATCGGACTATTCCGCCTTATTAGACACGCGTCATTACGTTCAATAGGTGCGCAATGGTTTTAAGTCATGCAACTCTAGTGTAAATAAAACATGTAAAGTAGGCTGTAATAGATTGAGATAATTGTGAGGTCAAGGGAACTCACTCTTCTGTATTAGTATTATATTTATATTGTTATCTTGAGTGATGTCCCTTGTGCATTGTACTTCCTTCCTCTCTGGTTATCGTCATGTAGTTAGACCCAATAAACGTTTATATACAACCACACGCTTCTATCGTCAATCCATCACATTTTGGCGACGAGGATAAAAATCTACTAGAAAGAGCACCTACTTACGCAAAAAAGAGGTTTGCTAGAGCTTATTAGCTAAGTATTTCTAGAATAATGGCGCTGTATGGCCAAATAAAAGAATTTGATTCGAATGATGAAATCATTCAAGATTACCTAGATAGGTTAAGCTTTTACCTTGAAGCAAACGACGTGACGATAGAAGCCAAAAAGAGAGCTGTTTTGTTAACAGTCATAGGGCCTCAACAATTTAGGCTACTAAAAGACTTATGCGCACCAGCTAGTCTAACTACCAAGAGCTTTAACGAGCTGAGCAAATTGCTAACAGACCACCATGCGCCTACCCCATCAAAGTTTCTATGTCGAGCTAGATTTGACAGTAGGACTCGTCAACCAAACGAGTCAATATCAGAATATGTTGCTGCTTTACGTCATCTAAGTAAATTTTGTGAATTCGGCGATACGCTGTCTGACAGACTATGTGAAAAGTTTGTGACAGGTCTAAACAGCCCTGATGTTCAAAGAAAGTTGCTGCTCGAGTCAGATCTAACATTAGAAAAAGCAATACAACTCGCAACTTTATTCCAGCAGTCATCCGAGGCGGCGAGATCTCTAGCACCTTCAGAGATCCATGCAGTAAACAGCAGGTTAGTCAATAAACACCAACCCCATCAGAGCATTTCAACTTATGCTAAACAGCCTGCACGTTCAAATCTTAGATCTAAATCTAATAATAATTATCAAAAATGTCATCGATGCAAAGGTCCCCATGCATCTCATCGGTGCAAGTTCAAGTCTGCAACTTGTTATAAGTGCAGTAAGCAAGGTCACATTGCTAAGGCCTGCTTTGCAAAGTCTTCGTCTGTCGCTAAATCTAGCCAGTCAAGACAGTACCGCAACCAAAGGCAGCACTATGTTAACTCTCACCAAGACTACCTAACCCAACCAATGAACCACTCTACCAGTGAAAATGCTCAAATTGATTTGCAGCCGGATTTCAGCCTGTTCTCTGTGAAATCAAAAAGTCATGCTCCCATCAATGTACCAGTTTGTATAAACGGTAAGAGCATCAGCTTCCAACTTGACACTGGAGCATCTCTAACAGTCATCACAAAGAAGGACTTTGACGCTGTCACAGGAGGATCAGTGCCTCTACAGCCATGTCACAAGTGTCTAACAACATACACTGGTGACAATGTTCCGGTAATAGGAGAGTGTATGGTTCATGTAAGTTATAATGGTCAAAGTGTTAAACTTCCTCTTCTTGTGGTTGAAGGAAATGGACCACCATTACTAGGTAGGAACTGGTTAAGTGATCTTAAGTTAAATTGGAAGAGTATATGTTCATTGAACAATATAAGAGAATCTAGTCTTACTTCAATAGATAAAGTTATATCTGAAAATGAAAGTGTTTTTAGTAATCCAGGATTACTAAATGATAGAACAGTGAAGATAAGCATTAAAGACACAAATCCAAGATACTGCAAAGCTAGAGTTCCACCTTATGCAATGAGAAATAAAATTGAAAATGAGCTAAGTAGATTGGAATCTAATGGCATCATAAAGAAGGTAGACTATTCCGATTGGGCAACGCCCATTGTGCCAGCGTTAAAGAAGGATGGTTCTGTAAGAATTTGTGGAGACTACAAAACTACACTGAATAAGCAAATAGAGCTAAATAGGTACCCTATTCCTAACATTGAGGAAATTTCTTTGAATTTGGCAGGAGGAGACAAATTCACTGAATTGGACTTTAGTCATGCTTACACTCAACTAGAACTGCATCCAGATTCAAAAGTCTATACGACAATAAACACACATAAAGGACTCTACCAATATGAAAGACTATGTTTTGGTATATCATCCAGCCCTGGAATTTTCCAAGCTGTCATGGACAGTATTTTTAAGGATATTCCAAATGTTTCTGTTTACTTTGACAATGTGTACATAACTGGTAAGAATGACACTGAACATCTTAAAACACTTGATAAAGTCTTGAAAATAGTTGGTGAAAAAGGTTTAAAGATGAACAATGATAAATGTCAATTCATGCTGACAGAAATTAGTTTTCTTGGTTATATATTGAGCAAACAAGGCATCAGACCTCAACCTGAGAAAACAAAAGCCATTAAAGAAGCACCCAAACCTGAAAATACCCAACAACTAAGAGCTTTTTTGGGCTTGATAAATTACTATGCAAAGTTCATAGGGAATCTGTCTGGTAAACTATCACCACTGTACAAGCTGCTACAGAAAAATGCAACTTGGCACTGGGGTAAACAACAAGAAGCTGCTTTTAATACAGCAAAAGAGGCTTTGTCTTCTGACACCTTACTAACTCACTATGACCCAGGGAAAAGACTTGTATTGACATGTGATGCTTCACCAGATGGTGTAGGAGCAGTCTTGTCCCACATGGATGAGAAGGGTGACAGACCCATTGCTTTTGCCAGTAGATCTTTGAACCAGGCTGAGAAAAATTATTCTCAGTTAGATAGGGAAGGCTTAGGCATCATTTTTGGTGTTAAGAAATTTCATAAGTTTCTGTTTGGTAGGAAGTTCACCATCTTTACAGATCATAAACCATTGCTAGGTTTATTTGGAGAAAACAAAACCCTACCTGAGCATGCCTCACCAAGAATTCAAAGATGGGCTATCACACTAACTGCATACAATTATGAATTGAAATACAAACCTGGATCTGAGAATAGTGCAGATAGTCTTAGTAGATTACCTTTAAAAAACCAAAGCCTTAGCTATGTACCAGAAGATGTATTTGTTCTCTTCACTATCATGGATAACTCCAATATAAATGTGAATGATATTAAAAGAGAAACACAAAAAGATGAGTGCTTAATAAAAGTATATGAGTACTGTAAGAATGGTTGGCCTGAAGAGTCTGTGAATGATGACTTAAGGCCATATAAAATAAGAAATAAAAACCTTTGTGAAGATAATATAAAAGATGGAGAAGATGCAGTCCATTATCAGTCAGAGTTGCCTAAACAAAGTATTTGTAACTTAATAAATGATTATGGTGATATGGCAATTTCAAATGTTTTAAGTAAGAAGGAATGTGATCAATCAAAGAAATCTATGTCAGTCAAGGATCTGAATAACAGCATAATACTTTCAGATGCCAATTCAAAAATAGTTCCATTAAATCATGACAAAACATCCATTGAAGAGAATTTGGTGTTAATAAGAATGTGTATCTAAGAAATTATGGGAGAAAGGAAAAATGGATACCAGGTCAAATTGTTCAATGTACAGGACCTGTGCCTTATAAAGTTAAAAATAACTTGTGCAGATAATAAGTGTGAATCTATCAATCCCACCAAATCTGAACAGTTCACACCAACTCAGTTTGTTCCACAACCAAGTTCTGTTGATATGAGTGAACCAAGTTGTCTGGAGTCAGAAAATGTAAATTCTGGAGTTAATGATTTAAATCCTAGACCTCCTGAGATAGAGAATCCAGATGGTCAGAATATTGAGTCACCAAATCAAAAGCCACAGAGAAGGTCAAACAGGACAATCAAAGTCCCAAATAAGTTAGACCTATGATTTTAAAGGTCAAAAGGACTTTGACATCATTGTTTTGTATCTTGATTATGTTGTAGCATATTGTGCATTGTTTGTAAGGATGTAATCTACCATAGTGTTCATGTTACAATATAATTGGTGATTTTAGGATACTATCAATTGTTCTATTGAGAGATGTGTTATTGTGTTCTAAGGGTAAAGGGATGTAATAGATTGAGATAATTGTGAGGTCAAGGGAACTCACTCTTCTGTATTAGTATTATATTTATATTGTTATCTTGAGTGATGTCCCTTGTGCATTGTACTTCCTTCCTCTCTGGTTATCGTCATGTAGTTAGACCCAATAAACGTTTATATACAACCACACGCTTCTATCGTCAATCCATTACATAGGCCTACTAAAAAAATTTCAGAAAAACATTTTAATAACAAGCTTTTATATACTAATGCACTAAAAAGTATAAAATAAATTATACACTACTATTTAAATAAATATAAAGAAAAGCGTGGGTCCCTTATGTATCTATTGGATACTTTTACTAATATTTAGAAAAAGACCCACGCTTTTCTTTACAGTAATTTAAATAGTAGTGTATAATTTATTTTATTCTTTTTAGTGCATTAGTATATAAAAGCTTGTTATTAAAACGTTTTTTTTATTATTTTTTTATGTTGCAATCACACAGGGCAGGTGAATAAACAAACAATGAATGGCGCAGTGGGTAGCTTGATTAGGCTTCACTGCTTAACTCTAACTTGCTGACACAACCATTGTTGGATGCTTACAGCAGTGGTTGGATTTATACAAGATTTGGATTTATACAACAAAGATTGGATTTATACAATCATAGTTGGATTCATACAACAATGGTTGTATTTATACAGCAAATTTTAGATTTGTATGATTGGATTAATACAACAATGGATATTCATACGACAATGGCTATATTTACAAAATAACATTTTGATTTATACAACAATTGTTGGATTTATACAACACAGGTTAGATTTATACAACCATGGTTGGATTTATACAATCATAGTTGGATTTATACAACAATGTTTCGATGTATACAAGAAGTATTGTATTTATATAATTATTGGATTTATACAAAAAGGTTGGATTTATACAACAATGGTTGGATTTATATAACAATAGCTGAACTTATACAACAATAGTTGAACTAGTACTATAATGGCTGAGCTTATACAACAATAGTTGGGCTAATACTATGCTGTTTTTTTTTTAAATAATGAAACGAGGTTGCTGGGCAATTTAATTTACAGGTGAGTCATCTAATTAGGCTGATTGTTATTTTCAGGTGTGTGGGCTATTTTAAGCGTAACCCACGTAAACAACGTATGTCAGGTAGGCGGCCATTTAAAATTAGGTCTGCGGTCAAAGACGAAAATATTTTTAATAGTGTTGAGGGGAGGGTGGGGTGGACACAAATTAGGATATTATTTCACGATATCAAATTAATTTTAAAATACGAACTAAATAGATATAATGGGGGATTTAAGTTAATTACAATAACTTTAAAATTACACGAACCCTACATGTCCTTAAATCAACCCTTAATCTTAGCAGTAAATTAAACCTTAAATTTAATATGCAGGACGTCATGCGTGGTACGTATTCTACGTGTATAAGAATTGTTTTTCTAGCTACATTAATTATTCAACCATTAAATGACCAATTATGAAACATTACCAAACGTTTGTGTCCATCTAATTACCAAGGCAATAAATGACAATAAATTACTAGTAAATGACTCATTATGTAAGGCTACCTAACGTTTGTGTCCATCTGATTACAGAGGCAATAAATGACAATAAATGACTAATAAATGACTCATTATGTAAGGCTACCTAATGTAGGCTAGAAGTGCACACATCAGTTATGACAGCAACAATTTTGACTAATGACCCAAGTACAGATCACAGCTGCGAGTTTCCTGCTTTGTTTTGTTTAGATACGATTCACACCACCACCAGCCATAAATACACCACTCTCATAGTCCCAACCCCCCATTCACACACCTACACACACACACACCTACACACACACCTACACACACACCTACACACACAAACACACACACAAACACACACTCACACACACACACACATAAACACACACACACGCGACCTCGTGACGTCACCCAGAACGTGTTTTTCGAGTTTTTGTGTGGACCCGTTTGTTTTGACGCGGTACTGCGAAGGGGGACAATCCATTGGTTACACTTACACAGGGGAGACAATGTGAACCCGTGACTAGTCCATTTCCTAGTTATTGCGCATATTTGGTGAAAACTTTTGTACAAAACAACCAAAGGTAAGTGTTGCTATTTTTTTCAAGTAAAAAAATTGTTGTTTAAATAAATCGAAAAAAAATGCGTTTAACAAAATAGCCATGTTTTAAAGGACAGAATTATAATATAGTAAAAATGAATAAACACAGCCTAGCAATTGTAAGACGCTCGTAATTAGGTTAACATGCCATACCGTTATAAAGTAACTTGTAAAACGCACAATAAATTATTACATGGGGTTTATGTGTTTAAATGGTCCGCTGAAAGACAATGAAACAAATGTCAGACTCTAATCAAAGGCAGTATAAGACGAAATGTCAGTTAAGGCAAAATTTAGTAATTTAACTCTTTTTTCTAATTTTGATAAGGGAGGTAATTTAAAAATAAATTAAACTCACGCTAATTAAAAAAATGTGAATGCAAATCTACGGGCATCCTAGAAGGAATTAGTGTTGCAATAATATAATTAGCAAAATGTGAATGCAAATTGTGCGGATGTGGAAGAGGAAATTATTGTTAGAAAATTATAATTAGCATGGATTGATAAAAGGCAATCTTTTATTTATTTTATTCACTTAACGTACTGTTTAATACTTATAATTTTCATTCAACTATTTCGCACTATTATAGACGCGTCATCACATTCATTGGGTGCGCAATGGTTTTAGTTACGAAACTATTGTAAATTTTTACAAGCTTTTATTTAACTCACTTCCTCGTCAGTCTGTCGTCAGTCTGTCGTCAGTCTGTCTAGACGGAAACGCAGGAGTGAAAATTCGGACAGTTCTACTTGACCGACACGATTCACAGTTGGCACGTGGGTCAAGACATGAAGACAATGCAATCTGAAACTAAATTTGACTTAATTGGATGCCTAATTGATTTTTTATGAATTAATTAAAATTTGGACCGAATTAGTAGGCATGTCTAGCCAACCACACCACACGCGTCATCAATAGCTGCGCCATCACGACCACGTAATGGCTGCGTTCAAAAACCATTGCGCGCCTACTGAACGTGATATTCAGTAGGCGCGCAATGGTTTTTAGTCATGTAACTCTATTGTAGATAAAACATGTAAAGTACTGAAAAAAAATTCATAAAAAACGTTTTAATAACAAGCTTTTATGTAATGATGCACTAAAAAGTAGAAAATAAATTATAGACTACTATTTAAATAACTATAAAGAAAAGCGTGGGTCACTTTAGTATCTATTGGATACCTTTACTAATGTTAAGGAAGACACCCACGCTTTTCTTTATAGTTATTTAAATAGTAGTCTATAATTTATTTTCTACTTTTTAGTGCATCATTACATAAAAGCTTGTTATTAAAACGTTTTTTATGAATTTTTTAAAATTTAAAGTACTGGAAAAAAAAATGCGTGAATTGATAAAGTGATATATGGTAGGTAAAACACGGATATTTTAAATATTGGCTATTATTTTTTGTATACACTGAACCTATGTTTTACTAATTATTTTCTATCTTTCGGTTTGCCGACAAGCTGGGGATTTTATAGGAGAGGCGTAGCGATGGAGGGGGGGGGGGTGCAAATCTAAAGTTTGAGCGGGGCGAATTTCAAATCAAAAGTGGTGCAAATCTAAAGTCTGAGGGGAGGGGGGGGGGGTCAAATCATAAATTTAAAAGGGTGGGGTGGAAATTGAAATTTTGAGGGGAGGGGGTACAAATCGTAAGTTTGAGGGGGGGGGGGGGTCAAATCGAAAGTTTGTCCCTGGGCGCCGGAAAGGGTCGCTACGCCTCTGTTTAATAGTCATTCACTGTGTCAGGCGTGCGCGGGCGCTCGGAAAGGGTGCGATTTGGCGCTACGGGCTAGACTGTGAGCAATATGCCTTTATGATTGCATTGTGTTTATGTTATGAGTGTTGTGTTTGTTTTTTGCGTTCGTTTGTGTTGTGTTTAGTTTTATTCTGTTCCCAAGTTGGTACACTTAAAAGGATTTACCGTGGCGGAGCACGGGATGCAGCTAGTATATATATATGAGTGTGTGAGAGAGAGAAAAGTAGGTTGGTCACTCCTGTGCCGAAAAGGATGTCGTGTTTATCTCCGACATCATCCTCTACCGCTCCTCCTCCCCCGCCCCTTTCGGTGAACCCAACCATGTGACGTATGACTGACTGTCAGACACTCTTGTCTTACCTGTCCTTAATTTACCTGGGCGTGGGCCGGATTCTCCAGTGAATACCTTACTCTCCACCAAAATATTGTAAACATGCTCATTTTAGGTTTATCATTTCCATCACTTTTGTCACAATGTCTGCCTGCTGATCACGCGGTAATCACGTTATGTGTAATTGGTGACTGTATTATGAGCACATCATCAGCACATCATGACCACAGCATGACAACATCATGACGACGCTGTCTACATCATGACACAATACCATCATAAACACCTGAAACATTATCCTAAGGACCAATAAAACCAGTTAAATAATCAACACCAAATATCTACTTAAAGACCATCGAGATAAAAGGAAAATGGCTTATACATTTACTGCTGCAGAATCGCAAATGTTATTTAAAAAAATATCTTTGGTAATATCTTTGGTGGCATTATAGGTCTTGTAGTAAAGGACTAAATAGAACACGCTCATTTGTAAAAGTTGTGGTGTTAGAATCATGTAAATAATAATTTAAGCCAGGGGTTCCCAACCTTTTTTACTCTAGAGCACATTCTAAAATATCGGTAGGGTGGCGGGCACCACCTATTTTAAATCGACAAACTCCTTCCATAACTTGTAATTTTCCCATAATTTATTTTCTTCTTATCTTATTTTATTATAGTCATAATGTATTAATAAATAATAAACAAAAATGTTTCAAAATAATAAAATTATTTGGCATTTTTTTTCAAATTGCATACACACAGAGAAACGTATTTACAAAACGTAAATAGTGCAGTCTGGCTCGCCGCTAGACAAGTTGGGACAAGTATCGAACATATTCAATAAACCTAGGCAGTAACAAAAAAATTAAAACTGTAACAAATGAATAAAAATAAATCATATTTTAAAATAATGTTTATGAAAAAATTTCTGTCTCTGTCAAATAGTGTGAGGCGGGCACATACGAATCGTTCAGCTGGCGCCATTGCGCCCGCGGACACAGGGTTGGGAACCCCTGTTTTAAGCTAATAATAAAACGGACAGTGTATTTACAATCACATTAGTAACTATGGCAACGGAAACCTGCAAAACCGACGTTGAAAGGTGTATGTTTGTGTGTGTGTGTGTGTGTGGGGGGGGGGGGGGGGTGGAAGAGGGGTTAATAGTGCTGACGTAACTCACACAAACCAGCTTGTGTGGTTTTACATTCGTGTCGAACTTGGTTGTGAAGGGGGGAGTACTGGGGAATTTTATGCAAAAAATCATTTGTATTTTTAAAAATTAAAACTAAAATAAGCTTATTTAAATGAATAACATAATTAATTAATATATATTAATTAATATAGGGGAAAAATGACATGGCTAACGACCCAGATATCATTATAACCTTTCTTTATGAAAAAAAAAATTATATTTGACTAAATTGTTGATAGTAGCATTACATCCTATGTTAGGTTTAAAATCTACTGCATCGTGATGGCGCTACCAGGTAGTGTTGGTGTGACGTTCTTCATTGGTCTGGTGGTGGCCGGTGTTGGTCTGTTGCTGGAGATCGTGGGGTTATCGACGCCAGAGTGGGTGGTCAACAGTTACCACAGCAGCACCATGGGCCTGTGGGAGGCCTGTGGTTTGGGACTATGTGTCAGCTTCACAACAAAGTCAAGTAAGTGGTCTGTCCTAAGTCATGTTGTCTGTAGACAAAGTCAAGTAAGTGGTCTGTCCTAAGTCAAGTGTTCTGTAGACAAAGTCAAGTTGTCTAAAGTCAAATAAGTTGTCTGTACTATTAAGTCAAGTAAGTTGACTCTAGACAAAGTCAGGATGTCTGTTGGCAAAGTCAAGTGGTCTATAGTCAAGGTCAAGTAAGTTGACTGTAGACAAAGTCCAGTTGTCTATACTCAAAGTCAAGTTGGACCATCCCCGGACAATATTCTGTCTGTATGCTTTGTTTTTGTTGTATGCTTTTATGTACCTTTGTCTAGGCGTTTGGTATATATACAATCAATTGGTGTGTTCTGTCTAGTTGTATGCTCTGTCTAGCTGTATGCTCTAACTAGCTGTACGCCTTTTATATACTTATCAATCGGTAAGTTCCTCTTTGTTCTGTTAAGCTGTATTTTCTGTCTTGCTATATTTTCTTTCGAGCTGTATTTTCTGTCTAGCTGTAGGTCTATGCTCTGTCTAGCTTATGTTTTTTTTATATAATATCAATCAAAATGTTCCTGTATTTTCTGTCGAGTTTTATTTTCTGTCTACTTGTATTTTCTGTCTTATTTTTTTTTCTAGTTAAAAACCTATATTCTATCTAAATGTATTTTCTGTCTAGCCGTATTTTCTATCTAAATCAATTTTCTGTCTAGATGTAGCCTATCTTCTGTGTAGCTGTATTTTTGTCTAGCTATATTTTCTGTCTGTTAATTTAGCGAACACCATTCTCACTACTGATTTTTTTTCCCTATATTTAAGCATAAACATATTCGGTGTTCTTAATTAATTATTTTTAATTAACCAATATGCTTGTGTGATGAATTATTTGCTATACTACAAGTATGTTTTGCATGTGTGATGAATTATTTTTTTCTGTTTGTATGATGAGTTTTGTATTGTGTTACCGGTGTGTTCTGCTTGTGTGATGAATTATTTGCTGTATTTGTCTAGTATGTCCTGTTCTGTTTGTGTGATGAACTATTTGCAGTATTTGACTAGTATGTCTTGTTCTGTTTGTGTGATGAACTATTTGCAGTATTTGACTAGTATGTCTTGTTCTGTTTGTGTGATGAATTATTTGCTATATTTCACCAGGAGAGATAGAGGTGTGTGAAGCTTTTGCTATCCTCGGCATGTTGGCGGCAATCGCTGCTGTCGCCGTAGCTGTTATCTATTTGGTGTTGGCTGCGATGGGTAAAAACAAAAAAGTCATCGCCATCATCGTTGCAGTAGCAGCTGTCGCCTCCTGTCAGAGGCGTAGCGACCCTTCCCGGCGCCCGGGGACATACTTTCAATTTGGCGCCCCCTTGGGAGCAAATTTTCGATTTGCACCCCCCCCTTGAACTTTTCATTTGCACCCCCCCCTCAAATTTTCGATTTGCACCCCCCCCCCTTGAACTTTTCATTTGCACCCCCCCCTCAAACTTTCAATTTGGCGCCCCCCCTAAGGTCGGCGCCCGGGGACATATGTCCCCCCCCCGCCCCCCCCCTCGCTACGCTACTGCCTCCTGTAAGTCTGTTTCAACATATAATACATAGCACATGTGTGTATGATACACACACACACACAGATATATAATGTTATGTATATATATATATATATATATATATATATATATATATATATATATATATATATATATATATATATATATATATATATATATATATATATATATTTATATATATTTATATATATTTATATATATTTATATATATATACATAACGTTATACATAACGCATAATACATATTTAGACACATACTTAACATATGCGCGGCACGGTCACAAAAAAAATACATTTTATCACTATCACCTTTTCCCTTTATTATCCAAGGAGAATAGTGTCGTCAGCACTATATACATCCGGCTAAGTTTCTCCAATGTGAGTCGGGTACCCATTAGAGCTGGGTTGACTCAGGGATCCAACTTCAGACTTTCGGGTTGGCAGGAATAAGCTCCGACCACACCATCCCTATTTAATTATAGTTCCATATTTTGTGATCTAGTAGTATGTATGGAGTACAGTGTTTTATCGACTAGTAAGTAAAGAAAAAGTAAAGCAATGTATTATTTCAAACGTTAGGGTCTACTGGACAGACGGAGTAGAGTTTACTTTCCATGACGTTAGTCAGGTACCCATTAGAGCTGGGTCGTCTCGGGGGCGTCGCACGGAGTCGAGCTGGGGGTTCGAACTCGACCGCTAGTTGTATGTGACTTAACAAACTTATTAAACCAGCCAATGTCTTAATTTCATATCTCCAATTATTGCTGATAATCTACCCCACAGTGGTGTGTGTGATTATCTGTGTGTGTGTGTTCGACCACTACTTCATTCCCGGACAAGGGGCAAAGGCCGGCTACTCTTTCATCCTCAACATCATCGGCGGAATTCTGACAGCCATTGGCGGAGTGCTGGTCGCTGTTTTTGGCTAAGCTGAGAAACTTCTCGAAGATGTTTTGATCTGGCCGTTTTAAATAATATCGTATTCTTTACTTGTCATATAGCCATGGCTAAGTTTTGTTACATGACTTTATAGCAATGTCTAAATTTTGTAACACGGCTTTATAGTTATGGTTGAATTATATAACATTACATGATATATAGCAATGGATAAATTTTTAATACGACTTTATAGTTATGACTGAATTGTAAATCTCCGTTATTCGTTGTTGTCTATCAGTTGTGTATTTGAAATATCATTTATATCATATTTTATAAATAATATATTAAATAATCAATCAGACCAAAGTGTGTTTTTTTTAATTTTCTTAAGTTTGAAGATGCCTCTAATGATTTTCGTTTAGTCTTAAACAAATATGTTTAAAGATCAGCAAGATCTTTTGATGGTAGGCAATTAATTTGAGGATTCGGCAACACTCTGAAGAATTGAATATAAAAACGTGTTGAAAATTTCATTTCATTATATTCCGGCAACCTAAATAAACATACATGCAGTATTCAGTGTTTCTTCCAGACTTTTTTCTCAGGGGGGGGGGGGCACTTGGAATTTTTGGTGAAAGGGGAGGGGGGTGCGGACAATGTTAAAGTGGGAGCGTTAGACTGCCTGGAAGAAACACTGGCAGTATGTTGATCGATAAAAAAATAACTAGGTCTTGACTGGTGTGCACCAAACATAATTATCATTTTATATTGTGGAAATTTATTGTGAGTTATAACCAAAAAAAAGAACTTTTTTTTAAAAAATCAATGAAGGAATATAGATGGAAGTTGAAGTGGAGTTCATTTATTTATCTTTCATAATTTGAAAAAAAAAAAAAAAATTATGCTTTCTACTTTTTAAAATTGATACGAGAAAAGGGAAATAATTGCGCATATTTTTGTTGTACAAAAATATAGAGCTACGTCCCTTGGTTGAAATTGAACTTGTTTTTACACTAGGTTTGTCTTACCTCATCTCATACATTTTATTACGTTGGGTGTAACCTAGAACAGGGGTCGGCAACTTTTTGAGCCAGAAGAGCCAAAAGTTACAATTTACATAAGTTCCCAGTTTTTAAAGAGCCACTAAATTTTTATTTCAATATTTTCGCATTTGATTAGGATTAGATCTATACTTTTGATTTGAAATAAATTGTTTTAAATATGAAATAATATTTATACTTAAAAAGCATACTAATATTTCGCACAAAACATATTAAAGTATTATACCTATCTCTGCTATAATAAAATTAGTAATCAAATAATATACCTATGCGACTATCTCAATCCGCTTTTGAAGCCAATAACTTTTTTCCCCTTTTTTTACGGACACCACCGGCTCAGGAGGTGTCTCCAATAGCCCGCAGCCCTTAACACGGTCAACTCCGAATACTGGCTTGGGTATCGGTCGCTTCTGTCTTCCTTATCTTCCTACTCACTGAATGCAGGTAAACTCGTACCCCACCGGCTATACCGTAGGAAGCTAATAACTTTAAAAAACACGTCACTCATGTCAAAATAAATCCATACTGACCGATAGAGAAATGCATTCTAAATAAGAATAATATTCCTCATTTAACGATATTTGAAAAAGTCGGCAGTGGCAAGAATGGAACCTTCGCCACGGGGCTGGCTACAGCACGGTTGTGGGGCTGGGTCTGGTGCCCAAGCGGCTGTCAGCTGTCCGTATACTCTCTACCTCACCTTCTCTCATTGTTCTCTGATGAGTGTTTTATCCTGTTTAAAATTGTTGTTTTTTTTCTCTTAATGAGTTTTAAAAATAATATAATATTAATATTTGTGCATGGAACTGGAGAGCCGCATCTTGACATCAAAAGAGCCGCATTCGACTCGCGAGCCTCAGGTTGCCGACCACTGACCTAGAAACATCTATACTGTTAATTATTTTTTATTAGCAGTAGCCGATGAGAAATGTGTTGATTGAACACATCTTTATAACACGGAGTAACTTTAGTTGTATTCTGTATGGGTTTTGTTTCTTGTAGGCGTGGATGGGAAATTGCTAAAAATACATTTTTATCCATGTAAGGACTACTGTAAGATGTTCCATTATTATTATTTTATTCTCATGTGCATTCACATTTACAGAAGCAGCAAGAGAAACCAGAATGTTAAACTATAAAAGATTTCATGGAAAAACAATTTACTTTAGGTTACGTCCCTTGTCCAGGTATAAATGGACAGTATCCCCCGAAGATTCTGGAAATAGAGAAAAAGAAGAAAACGAAAATGAAAAACTCGAGGAAGACAAGCAAACGGGTGGAAGAGTCCAAGACATTATCTCTGTCTTAGATTCCATGCCTCCTGGCGTGATTCCTGAAACCATCCCTCAAGCAGACGGCACTTTTACACCTGGCGCAGACGACGACAGCACATCGGCTAAGGCTCGAATCCTGGCGAGAATGAAAAAAATCGGTCGCAGTAATATCGTACTTCGAGAGATCAACGCTATTCACGATTCACCTGTACATGTCCCGCTTAAAAGATCCGACCCCGCGCCTACTCCAACTCAAGGATTTAACTACCCCATCACGACCCCACTCCCTCCACCACAACCACCCCCTCAAACCCAAGTTCCGGTATCGATACCACACTATGAACAACAGTCACCGCAGTCAAGTATCGAAGAACACGAATCCGAAATCAAATCCAATACGGAAGGCTTGAACATCAACGCGAAAAGCGTCTTGGGAAATTACGGAGACGAACTCGGGAGGTACCGGAAAGACAGATCAAGTCTAGTACCGATAGAAAGCGACGAGAAAAATTTCTCTTCCGGGTATTCGGATATTATAAATTTTAACATCACGAACCGGCAGATTCGTCCGGAACAGTTTAACATCCTCAACCTGCCGCAGGTGTATAACAGTAGCAGAAACCCTGCAGGTTTTGGTGGTCATATCAAAAAACAAAACGATGACGTGTCTATTTTCGCCATCTCCACCGGAATTTCCCATTCTAGTTCCGGTAACGTGGTGATCAATGTGGAAAACGTACATGGACCGAAGGGGGGGGGGAATGGAGGAGAGGGCAAAGGTCAGCGCCATCTGGGACAACATGTCTAGGGACAAAAGGAATTTAAAGGGGCCAAGTCATTAACTCATTGAATGGAATTACATCACGCAAGAGGAAGAACATATTTTAAACAATTTAAACTATTTATTAGCAGCAAATGATGGTCTTGTTTTTATAGAGATTTTTTTTTTAAAACATTGATTTCCTTTTTTTCCATTCATTTTTATACACGTAAATAGAAATAAAATAAAATATAAATAAAATAACAACTTAAAAATGTTGATATATCAGTGAGATCACTAATAAAATTTTGAAAGTTTTTAAGCATTGATTTGTGTTGCTAACAATTTCATAAATGCATCTTGACTGTTATAAGCTTCCTAGTCTAGAATTGTTGATATTCAAAGATTCAAAGATGTGTAGTAGTCCTGGAGAGGAATTTGTGTTGCAGGTTCGACACCCCCCAAATAACTTCCTCGATGGCACATTTTAAATTATAATCGTACCCCTCCACACTGACATACACATATAAACCACTTAAGTCTTGGCACGCGAAAATAGCTCTCGTAAAACTGACATTTACAGTTAGGGTCTGTCGCGGTTTAAGATAAAAAAGAAGAGAATGTGTTGATAAAGTTTACGGGTAAATTCTAGGCCTCGATTTTTGTTGGTCAAGCGTGGATGGTATTTTACAATAGACATGTAAGGTGACCACATTTACTTTTAGACATTTATTTTCCTCGTCAGTAGGGGGGGGGGGCGAGGAGAGTACTTAAAACTTTCGAGGGGTGGGGGTTTTGGGGGTGGGGGGCTGATACTAGTTAAAGTATATATTTTCTATTTAAATTGGTCCTCGGGGATGGGAAGGGGTAGTAACTCAATGTGCCTGAAATAAACTCTGCAAATACGTCATAATTAGTGAGACACCTCATGTAACAATGTTAGTCTCACGTGTAAAAAGTGAGACTCAATCTAGTGGGTTCACCATACACACATGAACCACTTCCGTCGTTTGAGTGTGAACACTAACGCAAGAAATAAAACCACAGTTGATGTTTCTGCAGCAGGCCTTCGTTGGAAATAACAACCTTTTATGTTGCCTGGGTGTGTAAAACCAAAAAAAAAAATTCAATAAAAAAACGTTTTAATAACAAGCTTTTATGTACTAATGCACTAAAAAGTAGAAAATAAATTATACACTACTATTTAAATTACTATAAAGAAAAGCGCGGGTCACTTTAGTACCTATTGGATACCTTTACTAATATTTGAGAAGAGACCCAATCTTTTCTTTATAGTAATTTAAATAGTAGTGTATAATTTATTTTCTACTTTTTAGTGCATTAGTACATAAAAGCTTGTTATTAAAACGTTTTTTTTTAATGAATTCTTTTTCAGTACTTTACATGTTTTATTTACAATAGAGTTACATGACTAAAAACCATTGCGCGCCTACTGAACGTGATGGCGCAGCCATTAAACGTGATGGCGCAGCTATTGAACGTGATGACGCGTGTGGTGTGGTTGGATAGACATGCCTATTAATTCGGTCCAAATTTTAATTAATTCATAAAAAATTAATTAGGCATCCAATTAAGTCAAGTTTAATTTCAGATTGCATTGTCTTCATGTCTTGACCCACGTGCCAAGTGTGAGTCGTATCGGTCAAGTAGAAGTGTCCGAACCTTTACTCCAACGTTTCGATCTAGACAGACAGACTGACGACTGACGAGGAAGTGAGTTAAATAAAAGCTTGTAAAAAGAAAAATATCTCAATTCAATTAATTTTAAAAAAAAAAGTGATCGAAGTAAATGAGTTTAATACGTAATTATATGTTAATATATATATATATATATATATATATATATATATATATATATATATATATATATATATATATATATATATATATATATATATATATATATATATATATATATATATATATATATATATATATATATATATATATATATATATAAGCAATGCAAATCTCTGGTAAACGCTTAGAATGCTTTTCAAAAATAGAGTTCAATACTAGAATTTACAACTGTTTACCTACTGTAAATCAACCTCAAGTATTTTATTGCACCTAAATGGCGGGGTGTGGGGGGTAGTAAGGAAGTAAATCGAGACATCCCACATATATTTTTATTTCTTTCTGAGGACTCTTATAAGTGAATTTTGTTACTTTTCAGTCAGAGATTTTTAAATCTGATCACTTAAGTGTCTTTTTATTTGGATATTTGAATTATTAAACAACAATAACATTAATTGGTAAGAAAATATTAAATACGTTTAATTAGTGTTATATATATACACACACACACATATATATATATATATATATATATATATATATATATATATATATATATATATATATATATATATATATATATATATATATATATATATATATTTGTGTGTGTGTGACAGTAAGTTGGTCACTCCTGCAATGATAAGGATGTCGAGTTTATCTACACCATCATCCACTAGCCCTCCTCCTCCCTCTCCCCCGCTCCCACAACCTTGGTTGAACACAACCATATGACGTATGACTGTTAGACATTCCTGTCTTACCTGTCCTTAATTGACCTCGGCGGATTCTCCAGTGAATACATTACTCTCCACCAAAATATTGTAAACATGCTCATTTAATGTGGGGCAGGTGACGGTGAAGTAGAGTTCACCCGTACCTGTCTTCTCAGCATCTGAAGCGATAGTGTGGTCAGACCAATGCTCAGCCGAAATAGGTGTCTTTAAAAGGCAAAAGCAACATAACTACCATTGAACAGCCGGGTTTTTAACAAAATCATTTAAGTCTCTATAATGTATATAATTTGGTTTTATTTTTTCTAATAGGTGTTAGTAGTCTATGTTATTTTAAACAAGTATAAATATATATCGTACATAAAACAAAACCCCTTCTTTTCATTTTTTTTCATAATCTTAACAATGTTTCATTTCAATGCTCCTGATCAATAAAATGTTTCTTTTACTAATTTTCCGTTAAAGACTTTTTGAAAACAGCTGAATTACAATTCATTTTTTTAAACTCACTTTCAGGATTCTCTACCGTTTCTTCCCCTTTAATAAAATAAACCGGGAGTGATCTCCCCTAAACTTTCTCGAATATTCTAATATAAAATTACGAGGGATGGCAACTCAGGACATAGAAAATATTTGTTATCCATTTTAATTACTTAAACTTTTTATAATAGAACGAGCCGGCCCGCGGCATAACATACGCCGCTATTGTTGTTGTTTTTTCTACTTTTCAGTAATTCATAATTTGTGAATTCGACAGTACCAACGCTGCCATTGAAAATATTTCTTTAAAACACTATAAGTAGCTCGTTAAGGACCATAACCCCCCCCCCTTCCTTCCCCCCCCCCACCCCCCCCCCCCCCCTACGTTTAAAATCGTTGGCTCTGCTTGTAAACATCTAGAGTGAACACAGCTCACTAAAACCATGTAGGGGTGGGGAGGTAGGGATCGCGTTTGCAGCTTGTTTTTTAACGGCTCCCAGAGGAGAATTATATATATAGATAGAATCACGTAAAATAAAAATTGCACACCAAGTGAAAAGTTTCCATTTCAAACCTGACGGTCTATGGGGCAAGTGAAGTAGAGTTCACTTGTTTCTGTGACCTCGGCATATGAAGAGATAGTGTGGTCAGCACTATGCCCAGCCGCCTTTACTTTCCCTAACAGGAGTTAGGTACCCATCAGAGTTGGGTGGACTCAGGGACGGTCTACTGACTTGCACTCGGATTCGAACTCGAGACTAACGGGTTAGCAGTCCAGCTCTCTACCGCTAGACCACTCCGTCCCACACCAAGTGAACGCCTAATAAAATGTGTATAAAAGTGAGGGATATTATTAGTACTTTATAAATTTACATGCGTTTTTTTGAGAAATCGGAAATAGCGTAAATTAGTACTTCCGGAAATTACTCAAAATTTGACAGAAGGTAGAGAATTAGACCTTTTACTTACGTGTGAAATTTCATGCATCTATCTAAAATAGTACGCAACTTATAGGCTTTTGAAAAATTCAAAGTAGAAAAAGTACCACTTCCGGTTATCGGAAATCGCTCAAAAGTTGATCAGGATCTACGATTTTGATAAAATACATATATATGAAATTTCATCAACCTAGCTGTAACGGTACTCAAGTTATCGTGTTTACACACAGACACACAGACAGACACACAGGCATACGGACAGAATTGTAAAGTCCAGTTTTTACGACTCGATAACGCATAAAACTCCAAAACGTTTATATATTTGTATTTATAATTTTTGCCTGATTAAAATAAGACCTCTATACTCCGGATGTGATGAAGGACTGAGGAGTAAAACGGTGAAAACTGTCAAAATTTCATGTTTTTTTTGTGCATGATTACAATACTTTCTCTATACTTCGTATATACGAGAAAGTAAAAACAACAACAGAAAAACCAGTATCCGCTACCCCCAATCTCCATCCCCCCCCCCTCACATGCACACACACACACCCCACACGCTCTCCCGGACAGTTATAAATGCCCTACCCGGAGATAAATATCTGAAATAAAAACCGGGTAGCCTTTTGTAAAGAGAAGAGAGCTAAAAGAATTGCCCGTGTAACGTCTACCGATGGCTAGTACCCCTATATATACCCTGAAACATAATCCTAAGGACCAATTAAACCCGTTTTTTTTTAAATTCCTTCAGTAAAATCTTTGGTGGCATTATAGGTCTTGTACTAAAGGACTAAAATGAACACGGTCATTTTAAAAAAAAAGTATGTTAAAGTCAAGTAAATAATAATATTTTAAGCTAATAATAAAACGGATAATGCATTAACAATCACATTAGTAACTATGGCAACAGAAATCTGCAGAGCCGACGATGAAAAGTGTTTGTGTGTGTTTGTGGGGGGGGGGGGGGGTGGAAAGGGGGGTTAATCGTGATGACGTAACTCACTCAAACCAAGTTTTGTGAAATTACATTTGTGTAGAACTTGGATTTTAAATTAAAATTAAAATCAGCTCATTTAAATGAATAACATAATTAATTGATATATGGTAATTAATGTAGGAAAAAAAATGGGTGAACGGAAAAAAAGTCACAGGAAAAAAAAACACAGAAAAAAAGTCTTTTTAGAAATATTTTTATTTTTTCTTTCTTCTTCTTCGTTCTTAATTATTAGAGATCGAGATTTATCAGCCAGTGCGGTTGAACTCGAGACTGTTCGAATTTATCAACCATGAGCTTTTTGCTCAACACACAACAATAAACATACACAATTTTACAGTTGCAACATTGACTCCGATTTCAGCCCGCTTTTCTTTTTAACACGTTTTTAACACGTTTTTATTAACTCAGCTTCGTGTGGATGTGTTTGTTGTTAAAATTGACATCGAAAATTAGCCCACTTCTGATTGTTCTATAGTTCTGAAATTTGGCATGCAGGCTACTTTCGCCTAACAATTTCAGATGCAATCATAAAAACTAGCAATTAGAGACCGTAATTAGCTTAATTTAATTACGCCCAAAGGACCATAAAATTGAGGACATGATTTCTAAAGATACCGACAAGACTGAAGGCTTATTGACACAGTTACTTCGGCCCCAATCGATGCGAGCGCGCTGGCCGTGATCGTATAGTGGTTAGTACTTCGCGTTGTGGCCGCGACAACCCAGGTTCGAATCCTGGTCGCTCAAGATTTTTTTAGTCCGTGTATTTATAAACACTTAGTCAATTCATACTTAATCAAGTCATTAGATAAAGTAGAAAATAAACTATATAAAAAACTTTTTTAAAAACCACGTTTTTCATGTGTAGCAACGGACTAAAAAGGAGAAAATAAAATACTTAAAAAAAACTTTTTAAAAAACCACGTTTTTCTTGTGGACTAAAAAGTAGAAAATAACTATTTACATACATTTGATGACAAAAAACGTGGGTCGGGCAGATGGGTCGGGAAATTTGATGGTGAACGTACCCACGTTTTTTGTCATCAAATGTATGTAAATAGTTATTTTCTACTTTTTAGTCCACAAGAAAAACGTGGTTTTTTAAAAAGTTTTTTTTAAGTATTTTATTCTTAACTCAGCTTCGCGTTTGTGGATTTGTTTGTTTGTTGTTAAAATTGACATCGAAAATTAGCCCACTTCTGATTGCTCTAGAGATCTGAAATTTGGCATACACGCTACTTTCGCCTAACAATTTCAGATGCAATCATAAAAACTAGCAATTAGAGACCGTAATTAGCTTAATTTAATTACGCCCCAAGGACCATAAATTTGAGGACATGATTTCTAAAGATACCGACAAGACTAGAGGCCTATTGAAACAGTTACTTCGGCCCCAATCGCTGTGAGCGCGCTGGCCGTGATCGTATAGTGGTTAGTACTTCGCGTTGTGGCCGCGACAACCCAGGTTCGAAACCTGGTCGCTCAATATTTTTAGTCCGTGTATTTATAAACACTTAGTCAATTCATACTTAATCAAGTCATTAGATAAAGTAGAAAATGAACTATATAAAAAACTTTTTTAAAAACCACGTTTTTCATGTGTAGCAACGGACTAAAAAGGAGAAAATAAAATACTTAAAAAAAACTTTTAAAAAAACCACGTTTTTCTTGTGGACTAAAAAGTAGAAAATAACTATTTACATACATTTGATGACAAAAAACGTGGGTCGGGCAGATGGGTCGGGAAATTTGATGGAGAACGTACCCACGTTTTTGTCATCAAATGTATGTAAATAGTTATTTTCTACTTTTTAGTCCACAAGAAAAACGTGGTTTTTTTTAAAGTTTTTTTTAAGTATTTTATTGGATTTGCTTCCATAGCCTTTGTCCAACCAAGAACAAACTACAAGGCAGAAGTTGTTTAATTTTGGAGTTGTCTCTCCTAGAAGAGTGGCTGTCCCCAGCTAACGAGCCTCATCTGCCCGAGGGTTCGAACTCGAGACTTTTCGGTTTAGCAACCATGAGCTTTTACCGACTCGACCACGCCGAACCCAATATTTTTATTAATTTGTTAAGAATTGTAAAATTGTGTATGTTTATTGTTGTGTGTTGAATTTTTGGATAGCATAAATTATTTATAGACGTTAATAGCATTACTATTTACAACAGTTGTTAGTAAAAATACTCTAAGATAATTAACACAACAATCTTAACTTTTGTTACGAATTTAGTTAAATACGCGGTAGAAAACTTAATTATAAAATAAATTTAGGCACATTTTGCCGTAGGCTATTTTCTGGTCGGCCTCTTCTCAGTAGGCATTGTCCGAACATATTTTGTGTTGTTGACGTTATGCGTCAATGACAGCCTTTGAACCTTGTCGGCTTTCTGTTTTGATCCTGTTTTGTTATGTAATGAGCATGATAAATGTGGGCAGTAAAGGTGGTTGAACTAAACATAACTATTGTTGCCATGAGTTGAGGGCAGCAAGTCAGATGAACTTACCATTTTACGGTAATTTAATATTGGTATTTAAAAAAAAACACGATAAAAACGTGGACTTTGGAGCATTCTATTAAATGCTACTAATCTTAAGTTTAAAATAATTACAATCTACATACATCATAATACATATTTTTAGATCAATTATAAAAATTCCTATGCGTATACAGCCTACACACATTACATTACATTTAATTAATCCTAAGTTAATTTGCACTCTCTAAATATTTAATACATAAAAGTATTAACACATATCATGCAAATATATATTTGTGACTTTTTTCCTGTGACTTTTTTCCTGTGACTTTTTTTCCTGTGACTTTTTTTCTGTGTTTTTTTTTTCCTGTGACTTTTTTTCCTACAATCAAAAAATGACATGTCTAACGGCCCAGACAACTAAAAAAATTAAATATTATATTTTACTAAATTGTTGATTGTTATTTGTAAGCATTGCTAGGTTTAAACTCAACTGTAATGGCGCAAGCAAGCAATGTTGCTGTGACGTTCTTCGTTGGTCTGGTGGTTGTCGGTGTTGGCCTGTTTCTGGAGATCGTTGGGTTATCGACGCCAGAGTGGGCGGTGTACTTACATACTACAGCAGGCCTGTGGGCGGCTTGTGGTATGGGAAAATGTGTTAGCTATACAACAAAGTCAAGTAAGTCATAAGTCATGTTGTCTGTCCTAAGTCAAGTTGTCTGTACTAAGTCATGTTGTCTGTCCTAAGTCATGTTGTCTGTCCTAAGTCAAGTAAGTTGACTGTAGACAAAGTCCAGTTGTTTATTCACAAAAGTCAAGTTGAACCTCCCCGGACTGTATGCTTTGTTTTTGTTGTGTGCCTTTATGTACCTTCGTCCAGGCATTTGGTGTTAAGTTTGTGCCCCAGTGGTGACCGTATACACAGGGGTATATATATATATATATATATATATATATATATATATATATATATATATATATATATATATATATATATATATATATATATATATATATATATATATATATATATATATATATATATATACACCCCCCCCATTACCTCCCGGACATTTCCTCCCCCCGACATTATCCCCAAATCGAAGTCCGTCCCCCCCTTTTAATTACCCCGATGGGAATGACACCCACCCCACACCTCCAAGCACAAGAACCCTGGCCCTAACTCTATACCTTCAAATTTCCTTAATACACAACTTAAGAAAAAGCCAACACCTAAGCATTCACCTCAGCCTAAAATTTAACCCAAAACCAAACCCAAACCCTATACATTGGTTACCCAAACCCTATACATTGGTTAAAGCCTAACCCTGAACCTATCCCTATCCCTATCCCTATCCCTATCCCTATCCATATCCCTATCCCTATCCCTATCCCTATCCCTATTCCTATCCCTATCCCTATCCCTATCCCTATTCCTACCCCTATCCCTTTCCCTACCCCTACCCCTACTCCTAACCTAACCTAACCTAACCTAACCTAACCTAACCTAACCTAACCTAACCTAACCTAACCTAACCTAACCTAACCTAACCTAACCTAACCTAACCTAACCTAACCTAACCTAACCTAACCTAACCTAACCTAACCTAACCTAACCTAACCTAACCTAACCTAACCTAACCTAACCTAACCTAACCTAACCTAACCCAACCCAACCTAACCTAACCCAACCCAACCCTAACCCTAACCCCAACCCTTACCCCAACCTTATCCGTATCCGTATCCGTATCCGTATCCGTATCCGTATCCGTATCCGTATCCGTATCCGTATCCGTATCCGTATCCGTATCCGTATCCGTATCCGTATCCGTATCCGTATCCGTATCCGTATCCGTATCCGTATCCGTATCCGTATCCGTATCCGTATCCGTATCCGTATCCGTATCCCTAGCCCTAGCCCTAGCCCTAGCCCTAGCCCTAGCCCTAGCCCTAGCCCTAGCCCTAGCCCTAGCCCTAGCCCTAGCCCTAGCCCTAGCCCTAGCCCTAGCCCTAGCCCTAGCCCTAGCCCTAGCCCTAGCCCTAGCCCTAGCCCTAGCCCTAGCCCTAGCCTTATCCCTATCCCTAATCATAACTAACTAAAACCCTAATTCTAACCCTAGCCCTAACCCAAACCCAAACTCTAGTCCTAACCCTTACTGTACCTTAAGCTAATACTGGAGGGAGGGAGGGGAAGTCCTACTAGGGGGTAATTGACAAGGGGGTAATTACTCCGGGGGTTGTTGTCTTGGTGGGATGTCCGGGGGGGGGACGGTGGGAGGGGGGTAATTTCCTGTTTCCCTTCTGGCTGTATGTGCTGTCATTTAGTATGCTTTGTCTGGCTGTAAGCCTTTTATATACTTATCTATCGGTTAGTTCCTCTATGTTCTTTTTAACTATATTTTCTGTCTAGCTATATTTTCTATCTAACTATATTTTCTGTCTAGCAATATTTTCTGTCGAGTTATATTTTCTCTCTAGCTTTTTTTCTGTCTAGCTATATTTTCTGTCTAGCTATATTTTATGTCTAGCTATATTTTATGTCTAGCTGTATTTTATGTCTAGCTATATTTTCTGTATGTTAGTTAAGCAAACGCCATGCTCCCTATTGATTTTTTTTTCTATATTTAAGCATAAACATAGTCAGTGTTCTTAATTACTTATTTTTAGTTAACCAATATATTATGCTTGTGTGATGAATTATTTGATGTATTTAACAGTATGTTCTGCTTGTGTGATGAAATATTTGTTGTATTACCAGTATGTTCTGCTAGTGTGATGAATTATGTGTTGTTTTACCGGTTTGTTCTGCTTGTGTGATGAACTATTTCCTGTATTTGACTAGTATGTCCTGTTCTGTTTGTGTGATGAATTATTTGCTGTACTTCACCAGGAGAGATAGAAGTGTGTGAAGCTTTTGCTATCCTCGGTGCGTTGACGGCCGTAGCTGCTGCAGCCATAGCTGTTATCTATTTGGTGTTGGATGCGATTGGTAAAAACAAAAAAATCATCGCCATCATTGTTGCAGTAGCAGCTGTCGCCTCCTGTAAGTCTGTTTCATTTGATAGGTTGCAATATATAATACATAGCACATGTGTGTATGATACACGCACACAGATATATAATGTTATGTATATATATGTATATGTATATATATATATATATATATATATATATATATATATATATATATATATATATATATATATATATATATATATATATATATATATATACATATATATAAATATATATATATATATATATATATATATATATATATATATATATATACATATACATATATATATATATACATATATATATATATATATATATATATATATATATATATATATATATATATATATATATATATATATAATACATATTTAGACACATGACATACACTTAACTTATGCGCGGCACGGTCACACAAAAAATACATGTTATCACTATCACCTTTTCCCTTTAGTATCCAAGGGGAATAGTGTTGTCAGCAATATATACATCAGGCTTAGGTTCTCTAGTGTGAGTTGAGTACCTATTTGAGCTAGGTGAACTCAAGGATCCAACTTGAGACTTTCGGGTTGACAGGAATAAGCTCTACAATCCGACCACACCATCCCTATTTAATTATATCTCCATATTTTGTGATCAAGTAGTATGTATGGAGTTCAGTGTTTTATCGACTAGTTTTAAGTAAAGAAAAAGTAAAGCAATTTATTATTTCAAACGATTCAGTCTACTGGACATCGGAGTAGATTTTACCTGTTTCAGAGACCTCGGCATACGAAGTGATAGTGTGGTTAGCATTGTGTCCAGCCGCCTTTACTTTCCATAACGTTAGTCATGTATCCATCAGAGCTGGGTGGTCTTGGGGCGTCGTACGGAGTCGAGCTTGGGGTTCGAACTCGACCGCTAGTTGTATGTGACTTAACAAACTTAAACCAACCAATGTCTTATTCTTTAATATCTCCAATTATTGCTATTGATCTACCCCACAGTGGTGTGTGTGATTATCTGTGTGAGTGTGTTCGACCACTACTTCATCCCCGGACAAGGGGCAAAGGCCGGCTACTCTTTCATCCTCAACATCATCGGCGGAATTCTGACAGCCATTGGCGGAGTGCTGGTCGCTGTTTTTGGCTGACCTTGAGCGGCCGCTGAGAAACTTCTCAAAGATGTTTTGATCGGGCCGTTTTAAATAATATCGTATTTATTACTTGTCATATAGCCATGGCTAAGTTTTGTAACATGACTTTTTAGTTATGGCTGAACTATATAACATTATATGATATATAGCAAAGGCTAAATTTTTAACAGGACTTTGTTGTTATGACTGAATTATATATCTCCGGTATTCATTGTTATCTATCAGTTGTGTATTTGAATTACCATTTATATCATATTTTGTTAATAATATATTAAATAATCAATCAGACCAGAGTGTTTTTTTTTAATTTTCTTAAGTCTGAAGACGCCGCTAATAAATTTTCGTTTAGTCTTAAACAAACATATTGTGTTCAAAGATCGGCAAGATCGTTTGATGGTTGGCAATTAATCTGAGGATTCGGCAACACTCTAGTATCTGAAGAAATTATTATAAAAACTTGTTGAAAATTTCATTTCTTGGCATCATCATATTACGGCAACCTAAATAAACATACATGCAATATTCAGTGTTTCTTCCAGACTTTTTTCTCAGGGGGGGGGGGGGGGGCACTTGGAATTTTTGGTGGAAGGGGGGGGGGATGCGGACAATTTTAAAGTGTATTTTCTATATAAATACCATTTCGTTCGGGGGCGGGGGGTGGGGGGGGGGGGTGCGTTAGACTGCCTGGAATAAACACTGGCAGTATGTTGATGTATAAAAAAATAACTAGGTCTTGACTGGTGTTCACCAAACATAATTATCATTTTATATTGTGGAAATTTATTGTGAGATATAACAGAAGAAATAACACCAAAAAAACAAGAACTTTTTTTAAAAAAAATCAATGAAGAATCAATAGATAGAAGTTGAAGTGGATTTCATTTATTAACTTGCATAAAAAAATGTGGTGCTCTCTACTTTTTAAAATTGATACGAGAAAAGGGAAATAATAGCGCATATTTTTGCTGTACACAAATATAGAACTACGTCCCTTGGTTTGTCTTACCTCTTCTGACACATTCTAATACGTTGGGTGTAACCTAGAAACAACTATACTTAAAAAAAAAATTAAATATTAGTTTTTTTTGTTGTTTTTTTATCAGTAATAATAATTTATTTGATAGATTTTACACAGCATCAAGGACATGAACATCAATTGCATATATAATAATAAAAGGGAGAAAATAACATGGCATAAGAACTAGACTAAAATAAGGTGTGCAAACTAGGTTTCTCTTGACTGCTTAGTTTACTGTGCTCCGTCCTTAGCTGCGGTGTCAAAAGTTCCCATTGTAGCCATCCATGGACGGAAATAGAAACGACCGTGGGAGAAGTGTCTCTGTAATACACATACTGATCTATCATTCCAAAACTTTCCATGACATAAAATTGACCCTTGGCGATGAGGGCACGCTACCTTGAAATATCCACCAGTCCGGTTGAGTGGGGGGGGGGGGGGGGGTGATGTTTGGCTTGAGACTGTCTAAATTAAAATTAATACTTTATTTATTTCTTTCCTGTACATTTTTTTGTCTCAGTTAAGTGAGAATTCCCAGTCTATGTCTTAGCTTTACTTGAAATATTTCTTTTAACTCGATGTCCGTGTATTTTGTGAAAAAAATATCTGCTAAAAGTATCGTCTTGTTTTTATATTCGATATTTATACGTTCATTAAGCGTGTGGTAGAAATGTTTTTGTTCTTGTCTATGTGTTGGGGCGTATATATTGATGATTGTTATTTCTGTTTTGTCAATATCCAATGTGATGCATGCTATCCGGCCCTGTTTATCCGTGTATGTACTTTTAATTTTGTGTTTGTCTGATGTACAAAGTATACTGGATCCTCTGCAGTTGAAACCAGTACTGTGCAGTGAGTTTTTAATACTAATATATGCCTCTACTTTATTCGCTTCTTCTGTAGTTCCAATGTTAGTTTCCTGTAAAAGTAGGATGTCAATAGTGTGTTTATTTATTAAGTTGTTTATATAATGTGTTTTGTCCCTAGCCCCTCTGATGTTCAATGTTTCCAGAGTTAGCATGAATTATTTGGGGTTTTCTTTCGAACATCTGTTTCTGGAGGGCTGGATGGTGGTGGTCTTTTAACGCCAAACTTTCCAGCCGCTGGTTTGCTATCTCGTTGGGCCCTGGTCACGACCCTTTGAGGTGGCTTTACTGTAGTTAGTTGTTTTTTACTTGAACTGATTGCTTGACTATATGACAGTTGACATGATACCTTTGTTGCTGATATACTTTGTGAGCTTTTAATTTCCTTTAGCGGTTTCGTTATGTTTTCCGAACTGGTGTTATCTTGAAGAATATCATTTATTGTTTCGCCGACTGCCTCCAAATTTTCTTGATCCCCATCTTTTTGAGACCCTGTTACTATGGAATTTCTGGTCGCTATTGTCTCCATGGCTTTGGCCTCTATGATGGTTTCTGCTACGCTTTCGTTAACTTGCTGTGATGCTGCAGTAGTATGATGTGTTTCAGTTTGGCCATCTACTTCAAAGGCATCTTCTACCTCTATATGCCTTGCTTCTCTAAGCATTTCATTTTGTCTTTCTCCGTCAACATCATAACTGTCCCAATGCTTTAAGAAATTTCTATTGTTACTTAGATGCTCCCTAACTTCTTCTTTATCATTTGCATCCCAAGGCTCAATTGCCCTGTACTGTCCATCTACTAGCTGGACGCCGTCAAGAGCGCGAGTCCTCAAATGCTCACACATTTTAGGCAGGTGCCTGTCTGTGTTGCAATGGCAACATTGCATCCTCCTCCCATTGAGGATTATAAGGACTCTGCTCTCCTTGTTGGCTTCATTTGTAAGTATAATATAGTGTGGCACGCTCTCCACGTCTTCTTTCTCCAGAGAGATGGTGAATTGGACCACATTTGATTGGTCTATTCTCTTAAATGTTGGTGTTGAGTCCTGACTGCTTATAGATTTCAGAATTGCCATTATATCATCGTCGCTTGTCTTGGAAGGCAGCCATTTCAGCATGCCCCTTTGCCCAGATTTATCGGCGTGGGTTATTGATATTCTCTGCACTCTGTATCTGGATGTTACCCCAGGTGGCAAATCTCTGTGAAATTCTTTTAGGTGCATTTTCTCATATAGTTCCTTTGATCTAATGGTGACATACCATTTACGCAGTGTCCCGTAGTTATACAGACCTTCAAATTCAGCTGGTGATAGGCTACATAACATACATAGCTCTCTTTTTAGTTCGTCAGCTGTGAGGGTAGCTAAAGAAAAACCCTATTCTATGAAAATCTCTAGAGTTTTTGGCGCATGTCCTGCCATGCCAAACTTAGGGAGGAATAGCCGTTTGATGTATTTTTCCGACATAGTTGTGCGTGAGGCCCAACCGGGGCCAGGCAACACACACAAGAAATAAAAAAAGAAAAAGTACTTACAATGTATAAAATGTGAAAAGTACAATAACACACACACACATAAGGTTCCAAATGGAAATACACACAAGTTTAAATAAGTAGAGATGAAATTAATCCAATCGTTAACAGTATACTGCAATAAATAAACACTAATTGTAAATAAGTAGAAAAGAGAAATATTATTGACAAGTAGCTAGCGTGTTTCTTCCAACAACAGCGTCACTTTATTTAGGGTAACCAAAATATGAAGAAAATCTAGTCTTAGAAACAATGTTGTTCGTTTTTTTTTAATTCCGTTATTTTAAATTTTTTTTTTTTTTTTTTTTTTTTTTTTTTTTTTTTTTTTTTTTTATTCAAACATGTAAACAAACTTGAGTTTTATTAGTATAATAGATAGATAGATAGTTAACATATTGCCCTAAACGACAACAAATTGTCCACATGTTCCCATCATAGTCTACAAATAGTTTTCCACATTGTCTCTTGAACGACCACAAATAGAAGCCCCTCAAAGGTCACAAATAGAAGCCCCTCAAAGGGCACAAATAGAAGCGTTTCAAAGACCACAAATAGTTCACATATTGCTTATGAACGGCCACAAATAACATTTCGACTCCATTCGATCTGACCTATATGTGAGTACAATCAGTTCCGATTGAACCGGTATCGATTTTAATCGATAGCCTTTCATCTCACAAGGTCAGTAAATAATACGATAGTTTAGATGGATGTCATTAACCTTTAACCAGCTAAATATTGAATCCATGTCGTTCATTCAAATAACGTAGCGACTCACGGATATATATATATATATATATATATATATATATATATATATATATATATATATATATATGTATATGCAATACGATGCACTCATCACCTAAACATCCGACATGTACTGATTACAACGACAAGACCATGTATGTTGTCCAGGTTTGTGAGTCGGGAGTGGACTGGTGGCCCCTAGTTTACATTCAGTGGATGTATCTTGTTGTGATTCGACTGACCTTAAGTTTTTTTTAAATGTTAATTAACCACCAAGACAACTTTACAGAAAAAGCTGTTTTGAAGGGTTTTTTTTTCAAAGAGACAAACAAATAAATTGTAATATTTCGATTGGTTTTATTTCTAAAACGTGCATGTGTCAAGCCGTTTGAGATGTGTTTGCTTGTCTTAACATAGCGCATTAAATTTATTTGATTAAAATCATCAGAAGTCTTTGGCTGCTCTGGTTTTTTTAAGTATGGCATTAAATCCTCTGACACTAGGGCCTCCCCACCCCCTTCAGCCACCTCCTGCCATTCAAGTATACACCCCAACCCCTTCTACTGCCCCCTTCTTTAGTTCTAATCCCCGACCCTCCCCATACGACGGCCCCCTCCTGTTCCCGCCACAGCCCATTGAACAGGTACAGCTACAAGTGGTATCGATCCCAGAGTCACGTGGTCCAGCTGTCACGTGAACACTGGTCCGCCTGTCACGTGAACACTGTGGACCACGTGTCACGTGAACACTGTGGTCCACGTGTCAGTTCTTTTAAATATTAGTAAATATTAATAGCCGATCAGCAATTTTTTTTCAACATATAGTTGAGACGCGGAGTAACTTTAGCTGTATTCTAGGTGGTCCGTCTGTATGGGTTTTGTTTCTTGTAGGCGTGGATGGGAAATTGCTAAAAATACATTTTTATCCATGTAAGGACTACTGTAAGATGTTCCATTATTATTATTTTATTCTCATGTGCATTCATGTGCATTTACAGGAGCAGCAAGAGAAACCAGAATGTTAACTATAAAAGATTTCATGGAAAAACAATTTACTTTAGGTTACGTCCCTTGTCCTGGTAAAAATGTGAAAAATAGTTTCCCCTTTAGTCTAACGATTGTGTT